CTAGCAGCGCACACTGAGTTTCTCCTCAATCACGGAGTGTTGCCTACGCGCATGCACACGCCGAGCTTAGCCAGCCGCGGCCAGTCGCGAGCGATTACTTTTCACCTAAGATTGACGCAAGCAATGCAGGAGTCACGTTTTTTTGTTGTAGTTTTATTGCTGTAGAGTAAAAGCCTTTTTTTTTAATTGCCAGGCACTCGCACGGATGCTCCGCACACCTACGTGTGTCTCTCGCATTGTTTCATACTACCAATTTGTCGCGAATACAAGGAGCTCTGCTTCCCTAAACAGTCTTGCTTTATCGATTACCTTAGCCTGTAGACAATAATAAATTTTTTCGGTGTTAGCATACTCGGTACGCATACGCAGTTTTAGTTTCGCACCGCACCAATAAAACTAATGAATTCAACGAGGCGCTTAAAAAAAGCATTGCGCTTAATTTTTCGACATTCTAGGAAACATGATACCACTATACAGTCCATGGGTGAAAGCACGATGATATACAATTGATGGAGTTATCCGTGCCGCTACCGCTATATGGGTGTTTTTTGCATTTTGCTCCATTGAAACACAGCCGCGGTGTCCGGAAGTCGAACCTGCGTCTTCCAGCATAGTAACACAACAGCCAGCAAGGCTATGCTACCACGGCAGGTGAAAGCACAAAGGGAAACAGGCTGCGAAGTTTCACCAAGCATTTATTTGCCAGACTGGGTTAGAACAATCAGAAAGGTTTTAAACCTCATTATAACTACACTTTTGTGAAAACTAAACCAATGACTTCTGCCAGTTAAACCAAATTATCCATCGCATGCGTTTTGAATTGCCCATGCCAATACTGAGAGGTAGGACGGCATTATGCACGGCGTGCAGTATGTCTTTCTCGTCCATTATTCTCTTTTGTCGTGAGAAAGTCAACACAAAATGCACTTCTAGTAACAGCTGTGCACGGCAGGTAAGTAGTAACTCTCACTCACCTTTGTGAAAAGAGTATTCAAAGTCCTGAGTAATAGTAACCACCACAGCTATAGCGCTAACAACACAATTGTGGCACGCACAATGACTGCAAGTTGACACACAAGGTGAATCGCGAGGCGCATTTAAAGCAGAGAAGTATGTAGGCACAGCATGCTATAACGTTATAGTAAATTTGCGCAATAATCGAGCAGCCGCGACGCCGACAGACACTGCCATCGGTCACGAAATAATATCGTCGGGTGCGAAGTCATCTTACTTCTCTCGCAAGATCCGCGTTGTAACGTACGTGTACACTGCTAAGACGGTCGTTACCACATAAAACATTTTCATTGAAGGGCTGGCGGTGTACTGTATCCATGGCTAACAGTCACACATGTGGTAAGCACGTAAAAAATATAAGCAAACATTAACACGAAACAACTAAACGAGGTCGACGCGACCACAGAACACCTACCGCGACGGACACCACAAGTCTTGCCTGATTTTTTGCCCTTTCCGAGTAAGAAGTGGAAAAATAAAAAAAAAAGACGTGACCTCCAAAATGGCAATCACGCGGCAAGCGTTTGCCTTCTCGGAAGCTTCAAGAAAAAAAATAAATCTGGCACTAGTCGCAGCGTTTGGAATGCCGTTGGCATTGTATGCATGGCGTGGGGTAATCGTTTTTGCGAAAACCTGACAAACTCTAGTAATTATTCCGTTTATCATTGTGCAGCCGTTGATAAACTCCCGATTGTCTAAGAATCATATACAACATACTTACGTGTGCGCATGTTGTGGCGTGGCCCCAAAACGTAAATAATGTTGACCAAAGCTTACTTGTAACTTTTACCACTATGGTCAGTCAAAATTCATTGGTATATATGCTTGTGCAATTCCTTAGTAATGTGTTAGTAAACACGTGTGATCCCCGTATTCACAAACGCTCCTCGACTCGACCCTTCACTCGAAACGCTCCTTGAGTGGCGTTTTCCCATTCACAAACCACCCTTCACTTGAAACGCTTCCTTCACTTGAGAAAATCTCGACCGTTTCCTCGAGATTGTCAAGGAAGCGATCAAGCTACCTTGAATCGTCCCTAGAGTGAAGTCCCTCCATCTGTCCGTCTATGCTGAGTTGTTCATCGAACTAGGCGGTCACGTACCACTAGCTAGGAGGAAACAACCCACAACTCTAGGAGCTTCGCCCCTAATAGCTAATTAGGCGGCCTATAATGTGCTCGGTGCTAGCGGGCGACGAAAACAAAGACTACGCGCACCATCCGAGCAGCGAGCTACAATGTACAGGCTGGCCATGATGACTAACACGTGGCCTTGGGTTTAGCTGCAATCGTCACGTTGCAACACGCTCAGCCGGTGCTGATCTCAGAGGCCACCATGCTGATTATTCTAAAATAGACGTGATGTAGGCATAAAAGTTTCAGAATAAATTTAAACACCCCGTACCGCTAAAAGTATGACCGCAAAACGTTTCTGACACTTTTTTGCATGGGTGTACTTTTGAGCTCAGTGTAATGACAAACAAATGGCACAAGATGACTCCGGTTTAAAAACACCACCCAAATTAGTCGTCTGTTCTTGACGCGAGGACTGATTTTATTGTAACCAATGAAACGCAACGTGCTGAGAGGTGAATTTGACTTCTTCGTACTGTTGTCTCGTTCACAAAGAGGTATCGCCAAAGCTCGCAAAGATCCCGAGTTCCACTTTAAAGGAAGAAACACCAGACCTTTGCGGAAAGCACAACATAGTCACTGCGAAATTTGGAAGAGTTGCGCTTTTTGCGTCTGTCGTACTCTTTGAGATTATCGATACAAGAACCCTTGCTAAGTACCCAGTACAACATAAATCATAATTTTTGTGAGTTATAGCAAGCACCCACTGCATAATTATTCGTCATTCCAGGGGAAAGCGAGGTACCCGCCACACATTCGCAAAGCATTATGTGTACTTTCTTGATGTGGTGGCTGACGACGACGAAGAATCATGCCTAAGCCTTTTATAATCCGTTGGAGGTTTTAAACGAGCCACAAGAGAAGAAGAAGAAGAAAGCCTTTGGAGCCATCGGTTGTTGACGGTGGTGGTCTTGTCTCACGGACCTTGCTTGCCTGGCTTAGGTGCCTCTTCGAGTTCCTGCTCAGCTGTCTTCGGTGTCTGGGTGCACCCTCCCGGGCTGTGCGGCCATTGCAGGCGGTGCTGATTCGAGCTCTGTTGACTGATTTCTGTCGAGTCTCCCAGCCAGGCAAACTCTGCCTGGTCGGCATCCCTCACTGATGGTGAGTTACCCACTAATCCTTTCTTGCGCAGCGCTCTCAGCAGTGAGCAGTGTTCCGGTGGCTCTTGTCCCAACAAAGGGGGCTTGTAGTCACATGAAAAACCCCAAAACCACCCAGGAGAAGCTACGGAAGGTGACCGAACACTTCAAACTCATCACCGAGGTGCGACAGTTTGGTCGTGGAGGTATTCTGTGCTGTTCCCCAGATCGGACCTGTGTATCAGATCTGCTAAAATGCACATCGTTTGGCTCTCTCCCGGTGAGCCATTTTGTTCCTCCTCACTTGACCTGTGTGAAAGGTTTATAACGTGGGGTGAACTTGAGCCTGTCTCCGCCCGAAATTCTAGAGATGTTTTGTGCAGCAGGCGTGGTGGCAGTCTTTCGCTGTTCACGTAGCGCTGACAGAAATAAGATCCCGACAGTGTCGGTGATAGTTACCTGTGCTGGAACTACTAGACCAACAGAGATCAAAGCGTGGCCACTGATATATCGGGTTGAAGCGCGACCCTCCTATAAATGCAGTGCCTCCTCATCCACTGCAGGGCCATAAATGCTGGCGTTTTGAGCATAGCATAAAGGATTGCCGATCAGTAGAGCGGTGTCAAATGTGTGCAGGACAACACAACTCTAAAGAATGCAAAGCTCAGGAAAGGTCTTGCTGTCTCTGCGTTGGCCCTCACCCATCTGATGATGGCACATGCCCTGCGAAAACTCAGGAGATTCAACTTATGGGAATGATTGCGCAAAAACGTTGTTCAAGACGCGAAGCTCGAATATCCATCACAGAGCGCTCTCGGGAGTGCGCTGTTGCTGCGATCCGTAATAACCATGTCATGGATTCGTCATCCTCAGACGTGATAGCCTCAACCGTTGAGAAAACAATGACAAAGCTATTGGAGAACCTTTCTGTGACGCTGGCGGAGTCATTTTCTCAAACAGTAAATGCACAAATAGCTCAAGTCCTCATGAATGTTAATCATCCACATGCAGCCTCTATGCTTTCATCAGCTAATGAGGTGAATACAGGATCTGTAAAAACAGGGCCTTCTAAACCCAGCCCCCTGATTACAACACCTGTTGAAGAGTTATATTCCTCAAGAGCTGGTCCGCCGGACTGTGGCCGTAAAATATTCCCCATTGAACATTTGAATTGGAGCTCTGATTCAGGTTCGCAGGATTCACAACTGGAATTCGACACAAAAAAAATGAAACGGCGGGCGTCGCGAGAAAACATGGATCTCCAGTGAGTTCTAAAGAGAAAGTAAAAAAAATATCACAAAGCAATAGCTTCAAAATAGGATTTTTTGAAAGATAGATTATTGCAGAAGGCAGTGAATGCTGTCGGTATATCCTCGAAATAGGTGGATGAAGAATCTTGCAGTGGAATTGCCGGTCAATTTTTTTCCGCAAATACTTATTTATTTTGCCTTTGTAATCGGCATTCCCCAGATGTTATAGTGTTGCAAGAAACTTGGCTCTCTAAAGAAGAAATATGTAATCTTTAAAACTACCGAACATTCAGCTTGGACCGCCCCTCTCGAGGAGGTGGTTTATCAGTGTTTATCTATTCAAAATTGCGCATCGGTAAAAGTTACAGGTCTTAGAATGAATTCAGAAAGTGAAATTTTAACATTAGATATCTCTCTTCCGGGACACCTTTCCTTTTCGTTAATAAACGCTTATTTTTCGTCAGGTGTTCAAAATTTTATTGTTTTAGATACCATAATTTCTTCTTGCAGAAAAGGCATTTCCACTAGCAGCCGGACGAGTCACATTGGCACTGAGGAATCATCATGGAGGACACAGAGCAGTACCAGGCAGCAGGGTCTGGTGCCTCCCAGACGTCCCCAGTGCAGTGCTCTCCTCTTCGCAAGAGCGGATTTGTCATGCTCAAGAGTAGGCCCTGCCACATCGCCGAGATGAGGACGTCTAATACTGGGAAGCACGGTCACGCAAAGGTTCATTTAGTTGGCCTGGACATCTTTACTGCAAAAAAAGATGAAGATCTGTGCCCTTCAACTCACAACATTGATGTGCTGAATGTCAACTGCTGTGACTTCCAGTGGATTGACATTAGTGATGATGGCTATGTCACACTAATGAATGACAAAGGTGATGCCCGTGACGACCTCAAGCGTGACGACCTCAAGAATCGAAAAAGACTGAGAGGTCGTTTTCGATTTGTTTACCCGATTTTACACATATTCATCAAGCTGAATGACTTGCAATTCTCTTAGCGTTATTCTTTCAGATTGCTTGTCTGTGTGGAGTTCATTAACTGCGCCTAATATGTCCAATGCTTTAAAAGTATTTTACGCCTTTGCCCCAAGACATTTACAACTCATTCGCTTGGTGCGGATACCAGGGCATGAAAGTTTAACCCTCAATGATTATGCAGATGCACTCGCAGTGGCCTCAAATAAATATCGCAAATTTCCTATATTGCTGACGCTAGTATTTATTGCCGTGGAAATTTGTCATATCAGATCAGTTTGAAAAATCTCGCTTGGCATCATCTGATTTTTCTCATCTTAAATACCCGTAGAAAAATTGATGGTGCTCTTCTAGAGTGGTGGACTAAGATGCCAAGCCCCCCCCCCCTCATCTTTTATCTACACAGGTCTGGTCTGGCACAGTCTCCTCTATGCCTCCACTGCAACGAGAGTGAATACCTTAACCATTTTCTCTTAACATGCAGGTTATATACAAACCAAAGTAATTGACTGTTGGAATAACCTCTCCGTAGGTTGACTTTATGTTTATCGCTTCCGGTGGTCCTGTCCTTTGGAGCAACTGAAAAGGAATTTAGCCACAGGAACGTTTGTGAGGCCGTGTGCGATTTTCTAATGGCAACAAAACAAATAGAATGTTAAGCTGATGCATAAATTCACTTTATTTCAAACGATATTAGCTTATTCGTGTTTTGTATTACCTCAACTTATTTTATTTCAAATCTATCGTTTACCGTTTGGTTCTTTGTGTTAACATCCTTATATAAATAATCCGGCTGGTAAAACAATTCCATCTCACAAATGAGGCCCCACCCATTTCATGGCCGATCCCCCGTGGTGGGTTGCTCCCGGACTCTAAGGAACAACCAACCAACTCCAAGTTACGTGATTCGTATGACGCTTGGTCTTTTATTTATTTTCTTTCAACGCTATATTACACGCCTGAATGTGACAGAGAACTTCACAGAGGTCCTAAGCAAGCGGATCATCGGGACCTTATGTGCTTCCTCTGCAACTAGTACAAGTGCACTTCCAAGGTATCAATTACTTCATAAATCATGATGTAGTGAAGCCTTCGAACTGTGTGTTGGGTCACAATAGGGGCAACTCAACTGGCTGGTGACGGTTGACGCGACAACAAGCGTCTGCACGGGATTGCTGTGGCCCACTAGTTTTCCGGCGTAGCCACATACAAAGCAAGAGGGCGGTAGTCAGACGGGCGCCATCGGTTCGAGGGGACAAGGCGCACCGGTGTACCAGAACGTGATAGACAAAGCGATAGCTTAAAGGACTGCTTGGTGGGCTGCAGTCAGCGCCAACGGATGTCGTGGGCCTACATAGCCGGCACACCCGCTTTGAAGGACGGTTGATATTGATTAATATGTGAGGTTTAACGTCCCAAAACCACTATATGATTATGAGAGACGCCGTAGTGGAGGGCTCCGGAAATTTAGACCACCTGGGGTTCTTTAACGTGCACCCAAATCTGAGCACACGGGCCTACATTTCCGCCTCCATCGGAAATGCAGCCGCCGCAGCCGGGATTCGAACCCGTGCCCTGCGGGTCAGCAGCCGAGTACCTTAGCCACCAGACCACCGCGGCAGGGCGCTTTGAAGGACGGAGGCCAATAGCGGCGGCTTAGGCGAAACTGAGCCGGGCAGCAAGGGTGCTGTCCCGCTCAGTACCACCACGCTCATTTACGCCGAAGCCGCCGCTAGACCTCAATTGTCAGTCTTTCTTCAAATGAATGAAGACGGGTAGGGCATTTTCTCAATGCTTGAGGAGAAATTGACGGCTAGCATTACACAGTGGGCAAGGTTATCGCACGCACTCTCCATGGGACCACGCTAATCACCAGTACTCACACGCTTTTACTCCTGAGTGGAACATACAATTTGCCGGGAGACGTTATTGATTGGGACATTACATGAAACGTATGATGGCAACGGCGAAGGCAAAAACCCGTTAAAAAGATCCGATAGTAAGTATCACAATAATATACGGCGGATATGTGCCACATCTTAAGCGTTCTCAGCAACTTGTAAAATCTATTTCAATGCTTTGTGACAAGCTATTTCTTAGTGGGCCTCTATTTCTGGATGTTCACCCAACTACCCCTGCTACCAACTGTAAAATTCAGCAGCAACTCTTCCCAACTAGTTGCGGCTTCCCATTATTTGCTTTTTTTTCTCCTACGTGAATCCCCGCTCAAAAACGAATACTTGTTGCGAAGCGCGCCTCCGACGGCGTTACAAAGGGCGCCACGAATCTCACCGCTGCAACCACTTTTTTGAAAGACAGCGACGCCAACACGAATTCCGCCGGGAAGGTCACCAGCCGTTTGGTAGCGTAGGTTTCTCAGCTCGAGACTGCTTCTGCGCAGAGTTGATAGACGAGCGGATGGAACGACGGTGAGTTAAACAAGGTTTATGTACAGCATATATATAGAGGCATTACAAATTCGGCACGGTGGCCGACAACTTAGAGACTAGAAGTGCCGAGCTCTCTTCTCTGACACATAAGTCAACTCCTCCCGACGCGCCGCATGGCTTTTTCTATATGCACCGGGTGGATTCTTTGAGTAACCAAATGTCCAACCAGAAGGACCGCTGGTTATGAGGTCAGAATCCTCCAATGGTGTCGCCGCTGGGCCACGTCATTCTCATCAAATCTGGAGCCGCTGCGCTGCACGTTGCTGCACCCAAGGACGAGTGACGTCGCCACGCATTGCGTCAGACTCGCCAGACAGGAAGGCGCCGATTGCTTTCTCGGCGGGCTCACTGGCTGAGGTGACTCACTGTGCGTGCGTGGCAGAGAGGCACCGCTGAATGATGACGCCGTTGAGTTGTTCGCGTCACGTGGGCTCGCGGGCTGGCCTTGACACAGGTTGCCTTTTTCAGAGGCATGGACGTTCGCTGTGGACTCGCAGGCATAACATCACCCTCGCCACCAGACAATGCGCCGGAAAGACGAGCTGCTTTCACGTGGCTCGGATGTCAGGTGCGCTCGTTCGGCAGGTCCCTCCAGGTTCGCCTCCAGGGCCATGAGGAGAATGCAGCTCCAGACTCTGTTCCGGGAACACATCCCATTCTTGAGGACGGATCCTAGCTCCACTGGCTTGTAGCCACAACTTGTCGACCATCTTCGTTCGTCTCTTCTGACGATCTTTGGTTTCAGCACTTGTCGATGGTTCTGCAACTTGTCAAGAACGGTTCGACAACAGACAACACACGACGCAAGCAAGTGCCCTCGGTCACCCGACAAAACGCGAGACAAAGTATAGTACAACATAAACCTAGCTACGCGTCTATCGGCATTTCGTTCCCTCTACATCAAGAGGCACATGTGGGACACAAGACTCTTAAAATGAGAACTCAATTTTTTTACACGTACAACAACGTAACGAAATAGAATAGAACACATAGTTGGTTGCTTGAGCTCATTCTGGACGAGAGCGCTCAGCTAAGGCCGTGGTGAGGACGAAATTTGGCCCCGAATCACAAGCGAGAAACTGAAAGGTGGAGAAGGTACTAACTAAACGCACGGCTCAATGCGTCTGCATTAGCGTTTAGCTTTCTTTTTTTGTAGCGAACGTCAAAGTTGTGCTGTTGGAGTATCATGCTTCACCTCAGTAACCGGCCACTTTTAGGCGACATGTTAATTAACCAGGTTAGAGGACAGTGGTCCGTTTCGACCACAAACCTCGAACCGGAGACATAACAAGCTAGCTTTTGAAAGGCCCACACGAGGCAAGGGAATTCCTTTTCAGAGGTACTGTATGCCTTTTCCCTGCCGCTGAGTTTTCGACTTGAATACAAAACTGGCCTTTCGTTACCAGCACTGTCTTCCTGGCACAATACAGCTCCCATGCCGCGATCACTCGCGTCGCATTGAATTACAAAGCTCTTAGAGAAATCGGGTGCCATGAGAACGGACTTTTCGCTTAGGGCCTGTTTTAGCTGGCAAAACGCATTCTCCTTTTCTGAGTTCCATACTACTTTAACCGGCTCGAATTTTCGGAGTGCGGTAATTAAAGGGCTGGCCATGCTAGAGTAATTTTGCACGTAATGCTGGTAGTATCCAGCCAGGCCCAAGAATGTCCTTATCTCAGATTTTGTGGTTGGTCGTGGATAGTTCGCGACGGCGGCTACCTTAATTTCTGAAGGTCTACGCCGGCCGCGCCCCACAACGTGCCCCAGGTAAGACACCTCGCCACACCCTAGGTGACATTTAGTAGGTTTCAGGGCAAGGCCAGCCTCTTTCAACCTGTCCAGTATGACGCGTAAATGCTCGAAATGTTCGTCCCAGTTGTTGGAGAAGATGGTGACATTGTCAAGATACGGCAGAGCGAACTCAGAGAGAACTTTAAGAACGCGGTCCAGTAAGCCTGAGAAACAAAAGGGTGCATTTTCTAATCCAAAGCTCAGCTTAAGTGGGCGATACGTTCCAAATGGAGAATAAATACGGCATAGCGGCTAGCACGCTCTGTAAGGGGGACTTGCCAATACCCTCGCACGAGGTCTAACGTGGAAATATAGCTGGACTGTGGCACAGTTTCCACCCTCTCCTCTAGGTTTGGTCTCGGGTAAGTTTGGTCCCAAGTTATGGCGTTAAGACGCTGATAATCGATGCATGGCCTCGGACCTTTACCTGGCACTTGAACCAATATTAGAGGGGATGTATGGTAACTCTCGCCCGGTACTATAACTCCCAACTCCAGCATTTTATCGATCTTCTCTTTCACGATCTGCTTTTGCACAGGGGAACAACGATACGGCTTGCTACGGATAGGCTCCTCACAAGTTAGCTCGATATCGTGTTTGATCGCCTTCGTGTTAACAGGCCGGTCCCAAAACACGTCTTCAAACTCGGAAACAATCCTTCTCAGGTCCTTTTTCTGGACTTCACTTAACCTAGGCTCTAGGTTCAACTGCTCCAAGATTACCTCCGATCGTGAGAAGTCACCCCGGAAAAGAAGACACAAACCCAAAAGTTGGTGAGATGA